GTCATGATCCTGGAGTCCTGGGATCGAGTCCCGCATCGGGCTCCCTGCTCGGCGGGGAGTCTGCTTCTCCCTCTGACCCTCCCCCATCTCATGCTCTCTCTCAAATAAATAAATAAATAAAATCTTTAAAAAAAAATAAAATAAAATAAAATAAAATACATTGTATTTTATAGAAGTATCAGTCCATCACAGCTTAGAAACTGAAGCTGGTTGCTCACCAGAAGCACTGTTTTAGACTCTGGCATTTTCTGCCCAAATCGCACTGAGCCCACTGCCCGGGTCTCTGCCTCTTCCTCTGCTGTCCTCAGGTGGCAGCCTCCTCTGTCAGTGTGCACACGAGGCCCCTCACAGTGCAGGGCAGAGAGAGGGGAGGAGATGGGAAGAAAAGGGGGAAGACTGAGGGTCGGGGTGCCTGGGTGGCTCAATCGGTTAAGCATCTGCTGTCGGCTCAGGTCATGGTCCCAGGGTCCTGGGATCGAGCCCCACATTGGGCTCCCTGCTGAGCAGGGAGCCTGCTTCTCCCTCTCCCTCTCCCTCTGCCCTTCCTTACCGCTCATGCTCTCTCTCAAATAAATAACTAAAATCTTGGAGAAGGAGAAGGAAGAGAAGGAGGAGGAGGAGGGGAAACATCTGTTAAGGTAGGGGATAGAACATACTTTTACAGGCTGTTAGCCTGATCCCTTAACTTCCTCAGTACTTAAGACAAGCGTTATGTGGGCCTCCTTGTGTTACTCGCCCCAGAACCCCACACATGCCCCAGGCAGGCCCGCCTTGAGCAGCCCCGGATGAACTGCTAGGAACCCATGATGCTGCATGGGCTTGGTATACGGACAGGAGCATTTTACTGCACAGCTTTCTAGGGCCCCTGAGCCAGTATGATTAAGAACCATCGGTTGAGGGGGGCGCCTGGGTGGCTCAGTCGGTTGAGCGTCCAACTCTTGATTTCAGCTCAGATCATGATCTTGGGGTCATGAGATCGAGCCCCAAGACAGGCTCCGGCTCTGCGCAGTCTGCTTGTCCCTCTCCCTCCCCCTCTGCCCCTCCACTCGTGCACTTACACTCTCTCCCTCTCTCTACAGATCTAAAATAAATGCAAAAATCTTTAAAAAAAGAGCTATCAGTTGAGCAATGGCAGAACATCTGATGGGATGAGTTGCCCCTTCTACCATACTAGTTCCAGAGACAGGGTCAGGGGCTGTCTCTTCCTGTTCTCGGGATGGGGTTGGACCTAGAGAATGGCCATTATCAGTGGCTGAGGAGGTCTCCTGTAGTCTCCCTATGTCCTTTATGTCCTCACAGAGCAGTTTCTGCTTTTCTAGAAGTCGTCCCTTCTCCCCCAGGAACGACCCCAGCTCCAGGCCGAAGCTCCAGCTCCAGCAAACCCAGCTTGAGGGCCTTTTCCCTGCCCCAGGAGCAGCCGCTGACCCAGAGCCCCCTGCAACAATGGCCCTGCACCCAACACTTGCCTGCACAAGGCTCCCGAGGCAGCGGGTGAGCAGGAAGAGGGGCGCCTTGGGCTTGCAGCTGCAGAATGAGAGACCGGTGTGCACGAGGGGAGTGGGGAGTAAGCTGTGGTCCTTTCCTTTCACCTGCAGCCCCCTCCTCACCCCTGCAGGACCTCAGGTAAACCTGGTGTCCCGTGCATCTCCTCCACACACTCGGGCCCACACACGTCACTGCTGGGCCCTGGGGGACAGAGAGAGTATCCTTCCCAAGGTGTCTCAGAGCCCCCCAGCCACAGCAGGGTGGACAATTTCTGCAGAATCTCCAGCCCAGGAAGACCTCAGGCTGTCCTAGCCTCGGGGACTCCCATGTTCTCTGTCCAGAAACACTCATTTCTTAAGGGAAAACACCCCCATGGGGTTTTGTTGTTTTTTATACATTCTAGGCCCTGAGAAATGTCTGGAAAAGGCCTCCCTTTGTCAACCCGTGAGGTGATGCGTACACACCGCCCCCCCCCCCCCCCCCCGCCCCAGCTAGCACAGCAGCTGCCCCTACTTGAACAGGACCGGAAGCCCCCAGGAGAGCCAGGAGGGCCAGGAGCTCACCGTTTCTCAGGGGTCAGGCCTTGGGCCTTCACGGGAGGCCGCTGAAGCCTCGGACGGGGGCCCGCACGGAAGCTGAGAGCAGACCTCACCTTTTCTTTCACTGGACGCCGAGCCACCCCACCTCGGCCATCCCTGACCTTCGGATTCAGCTCACCCCACTCAGACCCCCTACACAATGTAAAACGTGGGTGTCGGCTTCCCGACTTTGTTCTGAAAACAGAGATAAGAGAGCAAATTCAGCTCCTCCCTTCAGCTCCAGAGCTCAGCGGTTAGTGCAGGGACTCTCCCAACAGTGGTTCCTCCTCCGTGGAGACCACAGGCCCCAGTCCTGGGTCTCAGCTGGGGACCCCACTCCCGCGGGCACGGAGGGGGCGAGCAGGAGCCGCCCACCTGTCTGGCCAAACACTGGTCTCTCCCGTCCCCCTGCAGGGCCGGGGCAGGCCTGAGGATCGCGCTTTCCTTGTGGAAGGGTTTCTCTGTGTTGAGCTCCTCCTCTTTAGGGGGCAGACACAGGGCGGCCGTGACCCTCGCTGGGTCACAACCCCTGGGAAACAGCAGCTCGGGACATCAAACCCTCATTCATTCCACGCTCCACATCAGGGAGGATCAAACGCATGATGTGGATGTGGGGACGCCAGAGCAGACGCTGTGGGGTTTCCTCGGGGACCTGTGTCTGGTTTGGGTGACTGTGGAGAGAGGCCGCCATTCACTGGAGTGGGGGTGTGGCAAGAGGAGCAGAAGGGGAGGAAAATAATGTCCAATGTGGGGCGTGTTGAATGAGAGGAGCTGGTGGGTCCTCCAGCTGGAAGTCCAATGAATATTTGAGGACGAAGGTTGGGAGTGTGGGGGAGGGAACAGAAGTCCAATCTGAAGGTGAATGACCGTGACTCTCCCAAATCTCATGAAAACCACGGGTTTCAATGGGGCCACTGCAGGACTTAACTAAACCAGAATAGCTCAGAGCCAAGATGGAGCCCTGGCGGAGAAGAGAGCGGAGGCCGAGCCTCCAGAGAAGGAGGTGGAGAAGGAGAAGCAGGGGTGATACCAGAGGGACTAAAAAGAAAAGAAAAGGAGGTGGAGGTGGTGGCCAAGTCGGACGCAAGTCAGGTCAGGCCTAGAAATGTCAGGTGGCCACGTGAAGGTCAAAGGTGATCCTAGCGAGGCATTTGGGTGGGGCGCCTGGGTGGCCTAGTTCTCCTTGAGAGGGAAACTGACCTTTCTCCACATCTCCCCTCCAGCTTCGCACCTGCTCGGAACTCAGAGAAGACAGTCACTGCGACAGAAAGGACTGGTTAGGTTGGAGGGGAACCAGACTGGTGCCCCCGCAATCCTGGGACGCGGGCCTCCCCTTCTCCCCTCCCTGCCGGAAAGCTCACTTTATCTGTGAATCTTAAATTCCTTGCGGTCTTGGTCTGTACTTAGGCTCCTTGATGTTCACTTCTGGGAAAAGCCAGGAAGATGTGAGGCTAGGAGGTCAGTGCCAGTGGGAAAAACAAGACGGAGGGGTAAAAAAAATCAACATGTGATATTCACCTGGTTCTTTCCCCACCCGGCTACCATTCGTTAGGAACATGCAGGTGGCTTGTTTGGAAAAGTAAACGGATCAAGGCCACACGAGTGCCCAGGTCTGCCCACTGCCCTGTCCAGCTGAGACTCAATCCCAGGAGGTGTGCAGGGACCAGCCAGACTTCATTTTCTCCACCTCAACACAGACCCCACCCACTCAATTCCATTTAAAAAAGTGTGTCTTTCCGTTTGCCACCAGCCTTGATTAAATATTATAAAAGAGACAAATTACACACTTCTCAGAAATTGGAATTTTATAAAAAGGCATTTTTTTCTCTTATGTCCATAAAATGATATAATTCTTGCAAGTATAGAAATGTGTCATAAATTATACAGAACGTTCCTTAATTACAGCTCAATGCAACTTGGTACTGCCTCCCTCCCTAAAAAACGAGAGAGAACCAAAAAAATAATATATATATAACTGTATATATATATATTTATATATATATTTATATAATATAGACAAGTCAAATATGAAAAAAAATCATTTCCTCTTTGGTATAAAAATCAGACTCTCACCTTGAGAGACACACAAACAGACATGATGTTGGGTTTGTAAACTGTGCAGCCAAAAGGGTTTTCCCTGTCAAGCATCCCCTCCCCTGGCCCCCTGGCCCCCTGGCCAGCCCACCTGCCTCGAGGCTGCCGCACTGAGTAAGACCAGCCCCACACCAACCCTCAGCACCCCCTCCACTACCCAGACTGAACTGGTAGCAACTGCCCCAGGAGAAGCCTGATTTGGGGTGTGACAGGCACAGCTCGAGGCCCCCCGCCCCCGCCCCGCTCCTCCACAGCTCTCCTGGATGCTGGGCCTGGAGGGGCGGGACCCCTCGTGTACCAGAAGGGAGCAGTGGAGGCCAGCTTCCCCTTCAGCCCGGCCTCTGCTCCGGAGTGCGGGAGCAGGAAAATGCCAGATGATGGAGGACGGAAGACAGATGGGACTCTGCTAATGAACTCAGATCCAAATTTAAAATGAAAGAAATCTCTTTTTTTGGACGACATCTTACACCCAGCTTGAGGTCAGAGAATGACGGGACTGCGCCCCAGGCTCCAGCCCAAACCCGCAGGACTTACGGACCCAGGAACTGATACGTGTGTTGGGGGAGGAAGGAGACGGGACCAAATCCTCCTCCCCCATGCTCTGCGGACCCCTGGGGCTGGCAGGGGCCTCCCTCCCTGGCCAGCCTTGCAGCCCTCAAGGGCCCTGCGGACCACCCCGTCCAGCCAGCTGGGGCACCCCTGGGGGGCCAGCCTCCTCTTCCCACAACACAGAAGTCAGTCAGAGGCCCCCTCCTCCTGCCAAATAAAGAAACACAAAACCAAACTGGACACAAACACAGATCAAGGAGAGACACACACGACATGAGGGGCCCGTGGGCCCCAGCAGATCTCTGGCTTCCCAGCATGATACATTCTTGTGTAATTCAGGAACAGAGGCCCTCAGCCCCCTCTGGGGAGTGGGAGTAAAAAAATACAGAGATTCTAGTCTCCCTGTGGGCTCCAAGCAGGGCAAGGGCAGACCCAATCTCAATTTCAGTTTTTGGTTCCACATCTGACCCCTCCCTGGGGCTGGCTCCTGATGCCCCTGTCCCTGCTCCGCCCTCTGGGCCCCCGCCACCACCCCCCCTCCCGGGGCTGGAGGTGCCAGCAGGATGGGGTCTGCAAGGAGGGACGCGAGGTGGGCGTGGGGGCCTGCAGCTCCGAGAAGCTGTCCTCTCGGTGGCCGGACCGCCCCGTGCGCTCGTGGCCGGCAAGGCGCCCCGGGGTCAGCCCTCACCCCTTGAGGGGCTTGTGCCCCGGGGTCAGCCCTCACCCCTTGAGGGGCTTGTGCCCCGGGGTCAGCCCTCACTCCTTGAGGGGCTTATCGGCCCCTCCGCTGGGGCTGCTGGTGCTGTCACTCTTCTTCCTGCGCAGGCTCTCAATCCAGCTGGAGCTGGAGCGGGTGGTAAAGCTGGCCAGAGCCAGGGAGCTGAGCCGCATGTTTTTGCCGGACATGATGAGCTCCCCGAATCCCTCCTGGTGCGAGAAGGCGTAGCCCGAGCGCCGGGAACTGGTGCGGCCCACCCGCCGCAGGCAGCGGTGCTGGGCCTTCTGCTTCTTCCTCACCAGCTGGGTGTAGCGCACCTGGGAAGGAGCCCGTCAGCAACACGCTGGCATCACAGCCCCGGACAGGGGACCCGGAGCCTCCGGGACGAGGCTGCGCGGGGTTCCGCCCCAAGAAGCAGTGGGTGACCGCCACCAGCATCAACGTTCGCGCCGGAGGACTCCCTGACCTGCCCTCCCGGGCCCCAGAGCAGACAGCGGGCTGCTCACCGTGTCTGAGAGATCGGGCTTCAGGCTCAGCTTGAGGAACCGGAAGGCGACCACAGGCATGATGCAGACGACGGTGGTGAGGGTGATGGTCAGCCACACCGTGGGCTGGGCTAGGGTGTTCTGGGCGTTGCCTGGGGAACGAAGCCGCCGGCGGCCTTGGGAGTCACGGCAGACGAGGAGCAGCCCTATTTGCCCCATCCCGGCCCCTGAGTTCTCGCTGCTCCCCAGAACCTCAGGCCTGTTTCTTTACCTGCTTTCCTGGGCACCTCTGTGGTCTCCTCAGAGCCTCACCCCCCACCCCAACCTGCCCCGGGGTCTTCCCAGCTCAGGAAATGCCACCACCCAGTCCGCTAAGGCTCCGTTTCCAAACCGCCTGTGGAAGGTGGCCGTGGCTCCCTGCGTCCCCCCCAAGCCCGGGTCACCGCCAGAGCCTCCTAACTGGCCTCCCCATTTCCGCCTTTGCCCTCTGTGCTTTATCATCCCCAAAACCGTAACAGCCGTCCTTAAACACACAAATGGGTTCTGACACTTCCCTGCTCATAACCCTCCGATGGCTTCCTATCATATTTAGACTAAAATTCAAAGTTCTGCAGTGCCTGGGTGGCTCAGTCTGCCTTCGGCTCGGGTCATGATCCCAGGGTCCTGGGATTGAGCCCCGCATCTGGCTCCCTCCCTCTCCCACTCCCCCTGCTTGTGTTCCTCTCTCACTGTGTCTCTCTGTCAAATAAATAAATAAAATCTTTTTTAAAAATTTAAGAATTAAAAAAAATAAAATTCAAAGTTCTAACTCTAAACTAGAACATAAAGATCTGGATCCATTCCTACCCCCCACACCCAGCCAGGCCCTACCCTCCAGCCTTGCTTACCCCACACACCCCTCCTCTGCTGTGGGAACCTCCAGGCAAGCCCCCCTAGGGCCCCTCTAGAGGTTCCTCTTCCAGGCTCACTCCTCCCCTTTATTCAGGTTTCTCTGTGCCAACGTCCTCTCTTCAAGGGGTCTTCCCTGACTACCCTGTCCCTCTCCACCCTGCTTGATGTTTTTTGTAAGACTTCCTAATTCTAGACATTTCACCTGCTACCTTGTAAACTGCCTCTCTCACTGAAATACGAAACCCAGGAGAGCCAAGTACTGCATCCCCAGCACCCAGGACAGTGGGTGACCTACAGAAGGTGCTGACCGAACGCCCACTGAGTGCATGAACGAACAGATCGAAATCAAATGCACCCCTGCACCCGCCTTCACTTTGCGCCTCCCAAGCAGCCCGTCTGCCTCTGCCA